CTTCAAAGGCACATGAATCTTATATATCCTGGTTTGGAGGATCATATGAATATATATAATGGTAATTCTTTACAGTATGGATGCACTCACCCAGAGACTAAGTTCCAACCTCATCTGTCATATTTATTCAACAGTTAGTTACTGAGGGGAGCGTTGATTAGGGAAACATTATTTTCACCTTGGTATGCACGACATGATAGAGCCTCAGGATCACTGACTGGACTTTCTGTGATCTTTTCCCTTTATTTGTGGCATAACCATTGGTGTCTGCAGATTATTCCTCGAACTGATGACTTTCAACTTATTGTTGTGTACGAGAATATTGGTAAGGGTTAATTTGCCCTAGTTTAGTGCATCCGTGCTGTAAAGATTAACCAGTATTTGTTAGCATTGCCCGGTGGTCCTACTTTTTAATTTACAAAATATTTGTGAGCCTGTTACTTAATTCTATTTTTTTTATTATTATTACACTGGGTACACCAATCTCATTTATTAGAACATATCAATTGGTAAATATTGAGAATATCTTTATATGATTGATCTTGATTAGAGTGTTATCGGTGGATTCCTCTCCCTCTGTATTACTCATATTTCTAGAAATTATTAATCCATTCCCAATATCCAAATTCATGGCCATAATAGCAGGGGAGGGTATGAATGGTAGCAGGGGAATTGTAGGGTAAACTAGATGATATATAGAGAATGGGTCAGTATATAGTCATATGCCCCCTTCCCCAGCAGTAAACAGTATAATGACATTATTAACCCATCCGCCCCACGTGGCAAGAATAGATGCCATACCCACTTTGATACACGTTTAATTATTGTATTTACATATAGATGGCTCCACAAGTTCTTAATCACCGAATAGCCAGTTATCAAGAACTACCTATTTCACCTGTTTACCCTTTTCCTTCACTTCAGGAAAGGGTTTTTTGTATCATTTCATTGTCTAAAATATTCTAATGACAATGTAATAATCATAACATCAATAACAATAATAACAGTATCGATAGCGATGGTATTAATTTTGCCGCCAATTCAATGAATGGGAAAATCAGGGTCGGTAACTAGGGCCTACTGATAGACTCCTTGCCGGCTGAGCACATGTGGAGCCATCTGTATGTAACAAAATTCACCAAAAACTACAGGGGACAGAACATAAATCTGGGGTGAATGGGTTAAAGTGTAGTATTTTGTGTACATTATTATTTTAGTATCATATTTTGGGTATATAATTCATATTTTACCCCACAATTTCCCTGGTATCTTTCATGCCCTCCCTTGCTACAGAGTATGGGTCTTGAGAGTGGTTTTATGGCAATTGTACTACATATATGCGTACTAGAGGCTTAGAGAAATCTGTTGATATAATTGTTGTCATGATCTGTCATGCAAAGGTATTACCTATCAATTTAATCATTTTCTTCACCATAAACATTTGGCACAAATTTATATCAGCAACACTATTGAATCTGAATGTATTGTACCCTCCTTACTTCTCTCTAATTATTATTATTTCCACAGTATTGTGATGCTTGTGCAAGGGGGGAGGGACATAGTATGGGCTTGCATCTTACTGATAAAGTAGCTATGAGTAACAGTTTATAACCAAGCTTACGGCTATAATTATTATAATATCACTAGCTTAACCTTGTCTATCCTAGCTTAATATAGCCTATGAAAACCTGACTTAGCACAGCTTAGCCTAGCCCACCCTGCACCAGTTAATTTACAGAATGTTTGTAAGACTAATTTCAATAGCATATATAGAATAAGAGGAAGAATGATAGATTTGCGTTTCATAACTAGGTATTAGATCAGTTCTTCCCATTATAGTCTGTGTCCTTTTAATGTAACTAGTATGAGTTAATGTTATAGTTATTATAGAGCACATTTATTTGAAATTATGTCACATATATTGTCTTCATAGGGACTGAAAATCAGGGAGTTGTAAAAATGACAAAATACCATTCCCATAACTCTATATCCCTTCCTCATGGCCCCTCATGTTACTGTAGATCAATGACTATGACTCAGAGAAAATAATGATTTTACTATTTTGGTAATTCTTGCATTCTTGAGGTAAACAACCAAGCTAAGCTATATATTTCTTCAACAGGTAAACCAGCCACAGAGAAATGTAGCATTGAAGAATTCCAAAGACAATTGAAACGTTTAAAGAAAGAGAAGAATATTCTCCTAAAAAGAAATAGACTATGGGCCAAAGAAATGAAAGAGGCAAGGAAACAGATGTCTGATCTCCGTTATCACAATGAATTGATGGCGGAGGAGCGTGATAAGGCTAGGAAAGAAAGGGATGCTCTTCAGTTGGAGAAAAGACATCTGTTGAAGGCACTGGAGGAGGAGAGAAAAGAGAAGGAAGCTCTGGTTGCAAGGAAGAAGCAGGAAGGAGCAGAACTTCATGTGGCAGTTACAGAAAGGTACGTTCTTCTCAGAGATGATGTACAATTGAGTAGCTGAGGTATTGAAAATCTCA